ACGTCATAGGCATAGGAAGGGGCGGAGCAATCTAGCCGTCGAGTTTTTTGGCGTCGCGTTTATGTTATAGGAGAGGATAACAATAACTATACAGTATACTTCAAGAAATTCGAAATTTTTCAACGGAATAAACATATCAATTGCTACACAGTATGCTTCAAGAAATTCGAAATTTTTCATAATAAATAGCGAGTATCGAAAATCAAAAACTTCGAAAAAAGGAATATCGAATAATTTCCAAAATTAAAAATCGAATAATAGAACATCGATGTGAAAATTTGAATGAACGAGTACCGAATAAAATTCATCAATCAGCAATTCCAAATGTACGAACAGCGATTAAATCCGAACATTTAGGGGGAATTCTAAACAAATCTCAACTATATCCTACTCTTGCCTTGATTGAAGAAAACTGATTTGAAATGTGGGGCAGAATGCCCACAGCGACAATGTACAGTATGTTTCAATTCGGACAAGGCGAAGCATTTGAGCGGAGCAGCGTGTCCGCATCGCTAGAGACTTTGCTAGCTGGCTCTGGCATTTCGCCAAGTACTGAGGAGAATGAAGGAGATACATCGGTTCTTGGCACGATGCGGCATACTGTAGCTGCGAAATGTCACGAGCTGTTACGAAGCCGACTCCCGCTAATCTAGTTTCTGCCTAAACAGGATTAGAACTTCACTGTACCTTATGAATTAATTCTTGGATAATTTCGAAAAATCTGGGTACATGTGCAATAAGAAAACAGTATTACCACAGTAGCTAAATTTTCAAGAGGATGCGTCATTCGCGCTTGGTTTCTGGCCAAGATAGATGCAGAGAAGCTTTGATTTTGCGTGCGCGTGTTCAAGGGTTTGGTTTGAAGAGGAGGGGCTCGGAGTTTGACTGGGCCATTGTTAAAGAGCACACGAGGAATCAAATTATTTGAGAAAATTTCAAGTGAAAGTATGACGAAGAAATGATCTCTAAAAAAACGGACATCGATTTCTCACCGACCTAGTGTATGCCTGGGCGAGTAGAAGCTACGTATTATTTGACGAAAAGTTCGATCAATTATGAATTATGAATTTAGGAGAACAATCGGAGCTCCAAATCTTAGAGATTTAGCCATTTTAGTCTTCGTCTCCAAAGTACACGTGCATCAAAGTTCGTACCAATGTCTGAACACCACGTTGCAGGGCTTCCTTTGCTTTATCGTGCCGACTCTTCCTCCAAGTTCGAAGCTGGGGTTGCCTGCTCAATGCGCGATGGCACCAGCTATTAAACACTCTATTTCACTTGAGAAATAACAGAATGGAGAACGCCTGAAAGAGAATAGTACTCCCTTGGCTAAGGGCTGCTAAGACAATTTTTTAGATTTTAGACGCGCAGAACTTGCAGAAGTTTTTCAAAGACTTCGTTTCGTCACATACAACATCCAGCACTACTTTTTACCTGGAGCTTTTGTCAAAGTCAAGTAGCTTGTCGAATCAGCGTAAAAATCAAATTTTTACATGTTTTGAAACAGCCGGCGCGCTTCTGCAAGACAAACCCGGTCAGTAGTCTACACTGTTACACATGACCAAAATATTGTTGACAGCCACCTATGAAGATATAAATCAAACAAGTTGACTTAACCTCTATTGGCAAAACATCAACAATTTACTACCTCGGAGCCTGCGCAGAACTAACGGGGAAAGCTTGATGGCCGCAGCCTCTCGATATATGGCATATGTCATGACATTCGCTTTGAAAAGCTGGTCTAAACGCTATATTCGTCATCTGTGAAACGATCATTCAGAAAAATCATGTCTTATCCCAACTTGAATGTTTGCGAGTACAATCAATGTTGACATGTGCTAAAGATGTCGAATGGTCTAGCGGTTAGCGCTGTTTGTTATTCAATGGATGTCCGGTTACTCCGTCACTGCAATATTATTGCGTTTGCTTTTACAACTGCTATTTTTTCTCAGAAATGCGCTTCGCAGATAACGAACATGGTTTTGAGGTCAACGATTCGAGGCGCATCATGATTTATACCAAATTTCGCAAGGCCACGGCCACCAGTTATCCCTTGTAAGAAATATGATCTACTGCGGGGTTTGAAACATTTCAATGCAGGAAATAGGCTTCAAGAAAAGGCGCCTACCACACCCTCAAAATGAGCTGCGCCAAAGCCATTCGCTTCACGACTTTGCACCACATGGTCACTCCATTCTCCTCATTCAGGAAACTATCGGCTGTGCATATGCGGCGAGTATAGCACATGCCCACTTTCCTTTCACTCATAAATACTCCAGACAATTCATGCTGAGGTGTCTAGACCAATTTTTAGATTTGGGTCGCGTTATCGTGGCAGCCTCAATTCTTCCTAGGACGCCCTATGTTTGGAATGAGAAACGGTCACGAGCATTTGCGACTCCTTTTATTGGAAAAGGAAACAGGGCAAGCTCTAATAGACAGGGTATAAAAAGCTTTGTAGCAGTCGCTGTATACGATGTACTTTATCTTAGGTCACCATAACTGTTACTGCGGACGGACCACTTGAAAAATTCTTCGAGCAAAAACTTGATCATTTTGATTCTAATAATAGTCTCACATGGCAACAGGTGATTTTTACCCAACGTTTTATTGCTTTCACTGTTCCTTCACTGATCCGAGAATACAATTTATAGCGCTATTTTCAAAATACTCAGTACTACAAAGGATCAAACGTAGTTTTTCTGATGATAGGAGGCGAAGGACCCGAGAATATCAGATGGGTGAGTGGTTAAGGTAGATATAGAAAATACATTATTATCAGGCCTGTTTTGATAAGAGCTTTCTTTAGGTCAGTAATAAGGATTACCCATTTGTCAAGTGGGCAGAGCAATTCGGAGCTATGATGTTTGCACTCGAACATCGATTCTATGGAAAGAGCCAGCCAACCCCGTTAGTCCTACAAAATTGATATGTTCGCGAAACTTCTCACCTTGAGTACTTCAGTAACCAATCGGTGGAAAACTTGCGTTATCTGAGCAGTAGACAAGCACTGGGGGATATAGCATTCTTTATTGACGCTATGAACAAGGACCACCATCTTGAAAATCCACAGTGGATAACATTTGGAGGATCATACTCGGGTAATATTTTGCGTATTGCGAATAACAAAATCTTGGCTGCTGTATAACACATGGATAAAAGCCCTGACTTGATAATCGGCTAGCCCTCGCAATTAGAAAAGCTTGCACGCATTCACCTGCCTCTTCGACTACGAAGGAGAATGCGTCCGGAGTATGTCCGCAGAGAGACTCCGATTAACTTCATGATGAGACAATTTGATGATTAATGGTAAACTAAAGCATATATTCATCGAATCCCTATATCAGATAAACGTTGTACCCATGCATGTCTTCTCCACCCATTCTCGTTTGCAAGTCGATCTTGCCTCTACACGACAAAACTGATACTCGCGGGGTGCAACTGTTCTTTAGTTTTCATTAGCACGATTACTTGCAAAAACCATTACGAAAAACGGAGTTGGAAGAGATATCAAATGTGTGGTCTAAAAGTTCATCGTTATACGAAATCTTGTAATATCAGGCTTTTAGGTGCTCTGTCACTTTGGGCCCGTCAAAGGTTTCCAGATTTGATTGCCGGTGCCATAGGAAGCTCTGCACCAATAAACGCAGTAGTTGATTTCTGGGGTGAGCAGCGTACCCCACACTCGTGATCATCTCCTTTTTCATGATAACTCCATCTGATTGAGGTTATCTGGACGTTGTGGAGAATGCCTTGCGCACTCATAGTCACGAATGCGCATCAAACGTTCGGAAAGGATTTGCAGCTATGGAAC